CTATGGGCTGTGCAACCCTCAGGGGATGGAAGGATGCGCACGCTTCAAGACCGAGTTACCCCAGGGTACACAACTCAACCCTACCACCTCCAAAGAATGGTCTTAATGCTCGATATGCCTCCTGGGCAACGTAAATGACGCACTATGCGCCGACAGACGCAAATCTGTACTTGGCCGCATCGACAACACACTATTGGACTTAGGAACTACAAGAATTCGGCCCAAAGCACAAGGCCTACTATTCGACGTAGTGTTCATTGCAGTATTCAAGAAACACGTGAATTTATTCACCACACTAAATTAAACCCAGACCTCGCTAAAACAAGTCTTCCTCAACCCTACGGGGAAAGGTGTTTCTGGGAGGACTGGTCGGTAACTGAACCGAGCCACCAGCCGCTTCTGGGCGACAGGTTCCAGATCGTATACACAGTCCTCATATTTCTCCCATCTACTACACAAAGGAACCCATCCGCTTCATCTACTAGTGTGTCAACTTACATAACTAACTGTTTCCAATATTATGACCGGCAACCTGTCTCTGTTTTACAGAATTGGGAGACGACTGCCAAAGTCACCTGGGTTCTCCAGACAGTACAAGGCTATGTCTTAGAGTTTTATCACAGCCGTGCAGGTCGCCCCTTCACCTCCACTACGCACGCTGGCGGAACAGGAACGCCTCGTGGACAAGAAAATCTGCACCCTCTTCAGGAGGGGCGCAATTCAACATGCACCGGAGGGGAAGGCTTCCCCAGCAAATTTTTCCTGGTCAAGAAGAAGCCAGGAGACTACATCAATGGAACTTCTACATGGTATACAAATGCTGCAAGATGGAGGAAATTCGTCTTCTACAAGACCTCCTAGGCGATAACGACTGGTTTACACATCTGGACCTCAAGGACGCACGCTTGTCAATACCCGTTGCCCTGGACTGCCGAAGTTTTCCTCCGATTCCAATGGTGAGGACAAACACGGCAGTTTACGACTCTGTGGTGGTCGCGAACCTACTGTAACCAGTGAGGGCACACATCCATAAATTTGGGCGTGCGATGCCTCGTATACTTGGAAGACTTGCTGATTCTTTACGAATCCAGGCTACGTTTGCAGACAAATTTTGTCGTTCACTTTCGGGACTCCATGGGTTCTTTGTTGTACACAGACAAAGATCGCTTCTCCATCTGAATCGGGCCAGTTCCTCGGTTTCGACATCGGCTTGGAGAACTAAGTTCCGCGTCCGTCTACGGCAAAGAGCGCCTCTATAAGGATAGCTGTCGGATTGTGAGATTCCTCTCCTCCTCCATACAAGCGTTATTCCCTGGCCCACTACGACTGATGGTGAGATACGTACGCACCAGTCACTCATACGACCACTGGATCCCACTGTCAGCGGAAGTGAGGATGGAATTTCGATGGTGATTACTTCACAGACAAACTTGGATTGGCAAAACGATCTTTGACTCTTCCTTCGGATACGGGGCGATGGATGAACCCCTGCAAACGCGACCCAGCCGTTCTCCACAATAGCAAGGGTGTTTCGATACACACACACACACCCACAAGATATCGCTCCTGCTCATGACACCCCTCGGGCAGGGCCAACCGTGATTTCCCGGATCGCCTGGAGATGTCTCGCGGAGACCCTCTACTACTCCCTACCTTACCTCTACTTCTGACGGGACCTCGAGGGGAAGCCCACTCCCTTGTCATGGATGGACAACTGGCACTAGTTGCCTGGACGGCTTCAGGGGCTCCTGGTCAGTTCACGACCAATTGCATCAACTAAGACCTCCTATGGGACTCATAGGCTCCCGGCACCAGGAAAGGCTATATTTCTGCCTGGTCGGCCTGGAGTGATTGGTGTGTGGAAAGGGATTCCGATCCCTTTACCGCACCTGTCCCACTGACCCTCAACTATCTGTCACACCTGGTCTCGTTGGGTCGGTCATATCGATCCCTCAATGTGATCAGATCCGCCGATATCCGCAGATATAGGCGGCGCACGTTCCGGTACAGAGCAGACCAGTAGGTCAAGATACACTGGTTTGTCGACTACTGCGGGGTGTCGAATTGTCGAGATCCCTGCACCCAAATATTCACGCCTCTGGCAGGTGGATGTGGTGCTGAGATTCCTTAGGGAATGGCCGGACAATCCTTGTTTGTCACTGAAGCAACTTTCAGCCAAACTAGCCCTCTTATTATGCCTCGCCTCATTTAGACGGTGGCGGACGTTAGGGCTGGCGATATGGATGGTTTCTCTCTCACACCAGACGGGGTTACCTTTACCATGTCGAGATGAACTAAGTCTGATTCGTCTTCAGAGTCATACCCATGCTTTGTGTCAGACGCCTCACTATGCGTGGTCAGAACGCTAATGGGGTACACCAATATCTCTACCCCCTTCAAACTCATTCGACGGATCACCTTCTGACTTCTTACGTGAACCCTCATGGACCGGTGTCTACCGCAACACTGGCCAGATGGGTCCGCTGGTTTTTGTCTTTAGCGTCGAACCTTGTTTCGGAGCCCACTCGGTCAGGGGAGCGGCGGCCTCACAAACCTTTTCGGCCGACGCTTCCCTAGCCGACATTATACGCTGCGCGGACTGAGCGCGAGAGAGTACATTTAGAACGTTCTATTTTCGGCAAACATCTCATGCTTCCTTCACATTGGTCAATTCAAAGCTTTAAAAATGCAAATATGAAGCCTCCTGTCATGTGGTAAAATTGAAGATTATACTAGCTTTAGTGTACTAATAATCTTAATTTTAGTAATGACAGGAGGCGAATATTTCCCACCCTATAGAATCCCTCCCATGTTCCTCGTGTTGAACAGAATATGTCCTTTATGTTCAGGAAGGTAAGTACGTATGGTTTGTATGTTTGCTACTTAGACCTGTATCTTGTGGGTCTTGTATTGGCTGAATATTAGACGTGAACCTTGCATTATGTTGTGTTTATAGATTCTTAAATATCATTGCGTTAGAATAAATATATATTGATATGTTTCACACTCTAATGTTCGCTGGTATGTCAGATGCTTTATGCTTATTGTATGCGGACAAGTTATCACGCCAGATACCTTTCACCTTTTTCTTTTTCTTGCAGCGTGAACGTCTTCTCATCGTGACAAAGATTCACCTTCCATACCTCTGCATCGCGGAACTAGTGGAGTTGGATATTCTAATATGTTGTGAACTGTTGACGTAATATGATTATGTCTCTTATTGCTATTTATTGTTTCGCTTCAAAGAAAGAGGAAGTGATGTCATAGACAGGGCCTTTTATGGGCATTATATCTTTTTTCTGATTGGTTGTTTATGTTACTATGCTGCTGGAGTTTTGAGTAAAGAAAGATATGCAAATATTCGCCTCCTGTCATTACTAAAATTAAGATTATTAGTACACTAAAGCTAGTATAATCTTCAATTATTGCATGTAATATATTTATTCTCAATGACTTGCCGTTTAGTTGACATACCCTTCAGACCATTCAGTGTGCTGCTATTGACTTATCCAGCCTTCCTATATATATTCATATGTGATAGACTATTTTGTTTACTATCAATTTATTTATTCTTATCTATATCAACTCCTGGTATATATATTAAATTTTGATCTTTTTACACATCATTACTTATTTCTCAGCATTGAGTGTGTGCTGTTTTATTACCCATTGTTAAGGAGATATAGACTAAGCCTCTACCATTTTGTCTTTTCCCTCCCCTATATAACCAAGAGAGATTATTCCCCCTTGTGTTAAATTTTTTTACCTTAACACTTATCTGTGTATTTATTGCTACATAGTTTCATATCTATGTGGAAACAGTATTCAAAGGACTGAGATTGAAATGCAAACTTTGTTTCTACTATTGGGACTATTATAATTTTGCAAAAATACTATTCATTGATTTTTTTGTATCTCTTAAAGCAACATCTTATGCACCATAACTGCTCCTGGGTACCAGTTAGATTTTATCTTATACTATTCTCTTCTATATACTCTGACTTTTTAGTGGGGGCCTATGTTTCCAGCCGAGTAGTAACAACTTATTGCAAGTATTGTCTGTTCTTACCTGAGGATTTTATACTCGCACATATTCTTCTTGACAAGCCTGTTCGATATTAATGTTGCACCATTGGATATATTGAAAGCTTATTTATACATTATGAATAAATTCAATGTCCAAGGACATATTTTACAACTCTTTTTTTCTCTGTCGCCAACAGCCTCTTAATTGGTTTGCACATCGGTCGCCATCGGTTTATACATGGTCGAGTGGATGCTTACAAATGTTCCTAATTGGACTTTCAAGTTTTGATCTGTCCTGGAGGTGCTGGTTGTCTGCACAAAGTTGGACATACAATTTTTTGGTTATGCTGGGATATTCGTCTGCATCATTAAAAAGAGGAGTGGCTTAAGGTCACATGGGGCATTATGGTGCTAAGAACAGTCCCATTGGATAACATGTTTATATTGTGGTTAACCCTTTGGGTACATGTTTGTTTTTTCTTTGAATATTAAGCATTCTTTCTTTGCTGCTGAGGAATAAAAGAAAGAGATAAGCATAATGTGAGCCTCCGTGTCCTTAATATAATCATGAAATTAGTCAAATCTGGTAATTCCTTGCTTTAAATTCAAAATAATAATAACGCACTTCAACCAATGGAAGTCCTAATAAGACTGAAAATTCACCTCGCAGGTGATCACCAATAACAAATTCATACTCCGTTTATACATTAACCAACACAACTTACACAGCAAGGATAGCATTTCTTTTTCTAGATTTAATTTTTCCTTCCTTTTTGTTTACCCACTGACAATGTATGTACATTTTTTTGCTTACAGGATATGTTGCATTGATGTCTACATGTTATTTCTGTTGAAAAGCAGAAGTTATCAAGGGTCAGATGTTATTTTCCTTGTATTGTTAACAACGCACTCTCCACAGTTGGATGTTTTTTTTTAATTCTTTATTTTTGAGTGCATAAAGAATAAGCAGTTACATTTGCATTTGCCATGCCTCAACAGCATGTACACACAATATAATAATTAACATCGATTTGGTAAGGCATGGCATGGGAACACAATGCACATTTTTTTATATATACTGACATAAAGACTAGTTTTAAACATAAGTAATTATGAGGTGAGAAACAAAAATGCAAGAAACGACATAATATGATAGTTGGTCAACGTTGCCCACAGACTACACATTTTAGAACTTATGTAGAGTAGGATACCTGTTAGTCAAAGCTGTAAGAAAACCATAGGCATCCTTATGCAGGAATAACGTAGTAGGTTAAACTGATTATTCATTTATTTTAAAGGGACACTGTAGGCACCCAGACCACTTCTGCCCATTTGAGTGGTCTGGGTGCCAACTCCCACTACCCTTAACCCTGCAAGTGTAATTATTGCAGTTTTTTTATAACCTGCAATAATTACCTTTCAGGGTTAAATCCTCCCCTAGTTGCTGTCTACTAGACAGCCACTAGAGGGCACTTCCTGCTTCATAGCACAGATTTTCTGTGCTAGAGCATCGCTGGACGTCCTCACGCTGTGTGAGGACCTCCAGCGTCGCTCAATTCCCCATAGGAACGCATTGAAAGCATTTTTAATGCTTTCCTATCGAGAGCTCTAATACGCGTGCGCGGCAAAGCCCCGCATGCGCATTAGGTCTCCTCAGCCGGCAGGCGGGATAAGTCTCACCCACCGGCTGATACAAGGAAGAGGAGGAGCGGCGGCGAGCAGAAACCACCGCCGAGGAACATCGGTGGGGGTCTCAGGTAAGTGACTGAAGGGGTTTTCACCCCTTCAGCAACTGGGGATGGGGGGTGGGAGTGAGAGGGAACCTGCAGTGACAGGAAAACGGATTGTTTTCCTGGCACTGGAGTGTCCCTTTAACTTGGGTCTCATTTTTTAAATTTATTTTATATTTATAAATTGGGAACTTCGCCAATCATCTGTCCTTACTAGCGATTAGTTACTAGAGATTTGTCAGCACAGATACGTTATCACTGCGGAGAGATGGTTTTGGCTCGGGGACTCAAGAATTGCGTGGCAATAAGACAACAACCCCCCACAGTGCACAGCCAAAGTCGTCAGTAAATTCTATAACCGTGCATCCGGTACAGATGTATTGACAGATTAGAACTGTTTTAGCATGCTGACTGAGCACACGTTAAAAATACACAGTGTTAGGTAAGTAGAGAGTAGGACCCCATACTAGCCAGGTGTCCTTCGCTATAGCTCCTCAAGCAATTCCTGATTTATGTAGTTTAGAACATGTTGAAGGCAATATCGGTCTGGCAAACCCCGACTGTACTGAGGGACATTACCAAGATGCTGAAAATAACCTGGCATGAGAAATACTGTGCACACATTTTTTGGTCTAAGAAGAGTAAACGAGACTGTTAAACATTTCAGACATGCGATATTACTAGAACATATTACAGGGTACCAGTTTGTCTGAACCTCTGCAACGGTAGTGTGTGGTGAATTTCACGATTCAAATACGTGCTAGGCTAAATGCTAAGTACCAAGCTATGTGAGCTAATGTTGTCATGGTTTAACGCTGGCGGGGTCCCTACCTTAAACGTTGCCGCGTTATTGGCTTTAGTGCACCAAAGGGGGAATTGACCTAGATTTTCTATATGTTGCCTGTAGGAAAGAGGGGGAACAGGTGGGCACTAACATTGATGGATTTACTCGTTTTTGGAAAATGAAAGTAATTCGGTCTAATGATGTGTGTCCCAGTAGCGAAGCTGGAGGCCTGCTGTTGTTTCTCAATTACAGTGTAGTTTCAGGATGTGCTGCGTGGTACTATGAGTATAATAAGCTCGACGTTATTTAAACCTGCACCCAGTCAGGGGATGCTGGCTGATAGTATGAGAGATTAAAGTAAGACGTGCCCCTGGTTTCAGTGTCTGCTGCAGGATGTATGGTATGTACCTGTATGAATGGAACCCTGGCTGAGCTAAGCTGCAGGGGTTAGTGGTCTAATGTATTCAGGGTGTTGGTACCGGGTGGAGGGTCATTTTAACTGCTCAACAACTTAGAGTACAAATTAAGTAGATATGTCCATTTAGGTGAAAAAAGATTTATTTATTTTTATTCACCTATTATTTATATGTTATAATAATAAATATATACAATATATCATTACATATATTATATATGTGTGTAATTTAATTCTAAGTGTATTTTTATATTAATATATGTATATGTTAATAAAAAAACAGAGTATGATAAGATATATATACATATTATATGTATAGATATAATATATGTATAGGCACCTCATATATACATATATTATAATTTTTTTATTTACTGGTATTTTATTTTTTATTTTACAGGAGCAGGGAGACTGCAGGCCTATTGCGGCCAGAGCGATCACATGGCCTGCGGGGGCCTAATTTGCCAAGGGAGGACTGTGTGGGCTGTCAGGCAGTCCCCCCAGACCGGGAGCAATGCCGATTGCCAGCGAGGGAATGACGGGGACCGGGTAAGTGGGGTGGACGGCGGGGACGTTCTTGTAACATATTCATCCTCACCTTGCGGTCAGCGGCCGTTCATCTGCATGACTAACACTTGCGGCATGTTAATGGACGCCGGTCGCTGCGGATCCACGGCTAATTATACCCCCACATCCGCTCACGTGACTAACGATGTCGGCCTGCACGTGACGTCACACATGCACCGCGCGCGCACGGTTTGGGGTCAAAGAGCAATCCCGGCCAATCAGAAAGGTAAAGCAGGTATAAAAACCTAGAATTACCTTTTCTCATTGCCCTGTCATGGTTTCCCTAGTGGTTGTCCCAGAGCACATTCCTGATTCAAGTTTCTTCTGGTTTTTGACTTTGGCTTTGATTTTGACTATTTCTGGTATCCATGACCTCTGGCTTTCCTTTATCATTGTGTCCCTATCTGGGTCCCCTGACCTCGGCTAGCACCTTGACTATTCTTTGGTACGTTAGTCCAGCCATTCTAAGGCCCGGTAATACGTTACCTATTAGTCATCTGTGTAACACAATTCTACGTGCTGGATCATATAGTAATCCTGACAGTTCTATACCACTCGCTGGCGTTCAGGCATGGCTCCTTAAGGATGGAATAGAACGCCCGCCATCCTTAAGTGGTTAAAGCCAGTAGCCAAGCTGAAAGCATTCACTAACTTTATAAATTTGGTATTTTGGCTCTACATTTATGCAGTTCTCATGCAAAATCCTACCAGTCTGTGGTATCAACAAAACACACACTTAAAGGACCACTCTAGGCACCCAGACCACTTCAGCTTAATGAAGTGGTCTGGGTGCCAGGTCCAGCTAGGGTTAACCCATTTTTTCATAAACATAGCAGTTTCAGAGAAACTGCTATGTTTATGAATGGGTTAAGCCTTCCCCTATTTCCTCTAGCGGCTGTCTCATTGACAGCCGCTAGAGGCGCATGCGTGCTTCTCACTTTGATTTTCACAGTGAGAGCACGCCAGCGTCCATAGGAAAGCATTATGAATGCTTTCCTATATGACCGGCTGAATGCGCGCGCAACTCTTGCCGCGCGTGCGCATTCAGTCGACGGGGAGGAGAAGAGGAGGATCGGAGAGCTCCCCGCCCAGCACTGGAAATAGGTAAGTTTTAACCCCTTTCCCCCTTCCAGAGCCGGGCGGGAGGAGGGCACTATAGTGCCAGGAAAACGAGTATGTTTTCCTGGCACTATAGTGGTCCTTTAAACAAAACACCTGTAATAAGTGCTTATATATATGCAGGCAGATATAGATATAGACTGATCAGCTACAACATTAAAATCACCTGCTAACTATCTTGTAGGTCCCCCTTATCATAATAAAACCACTCTAATAAGTCGAGGCATGGACTCCACAAAACCTCTGAATGTGTCATGTGGTATCTGGCACCAATGCATTAGCAGCAGATCCTTTAAATCCTGCAAGTTGCAAGGTGGGGCCTCCAAGGATCGGATTTGTTGTTCCAGTATGTCCCACAGATGCTCAATTGACTTGAGAATTCGGGAGTTTTGGAGGCCAAGGCAACACCTTGAACCTAAAACCATTCCTGAACATTTTGCAGTGTGGCAGGGTGCATTACTACCATCAGGGAACAGCATTGCTATGAAGGGGTGTACGTGGTCTGCTACAATCTCTAGGTACATGGTCCAAGTAACACCCATGTGAATGCCAGGACACATGGTATCCCAGCATAATATTGGCCAGAGCATAAAACTGCCTCTGTTGGCCTGCCCCTTGATCTAAAAGAAAACATGTTTCCTCAGATCAGGCAATCTTTTTTCATTGCTTTTTTCATAGCTCCATGGTCCAGGTCTGATGCTCACATCACAATTAAAGGTGCCATTTGGCACCTTTCTATGACGGCCAGCATTAAGGTTTTCGCTACAGTAGCTCTTGTGTGTGATTAGACGGCCTAGTCTTTGCTCTCCACACGCATCAATGAGTCTTTTGGCACCCGTGACCCTGATGCCAGTACATTGGTTGTCTTTACTTGCACTACTTTTGGTAGATGCTAACCACTGCATACCTGGAACACCCCACAAGACTTGCTGTTTTGGAGAAGCTTTGACCCGGTCACCTAGCCATAATTATTTGGCCCTTGTGCAAGTCACTCAGATCTTTTCACTTGCCCATTTTCCTGCTTCCAACACATGAAATTCAGGAACTGACTGTTCCCTTGCTGCCTAATATTTCCCACCCCATTGGCATGTCCCATTGTTATGATATAATCAATGTTATTCACTTCCCCTGTCAGTGGTTTTAATGTTGTGGCTGTTCAGTGTATATTCAGATACAAAAAAAAAAGTCCTGCGCTCCAACTCCCATCACTCTGGGCGGCAGCAACGACCAAAGTACACATCAGCCCCAATACATACAGTAAAAACCAAAGAAAAAAGTTACCTGGGTTCCTCCCAAATCCCTATGCATATTTAAACAAATGGAGGTTAATTAGTTTCTCCAAAGGCCATGAGAGACTTTAGCCCACCTGCAGCATCAAGGCAAACCTCTCAGGTGGGTCCTACACTAACCTTTCATCTTGCTTCTTTGAGCTTATTTGGTTTTTACTGTATGTATTGGGGCTGATGTGTACTATGGTCATTGCTGCCTCCCAGGAGTCATGGGAGTTTGAGCGCAGGACTTGTTTGTATCACACAGCTACATTACAATGCTGCTGCCCATCCCATGTGTTCCTTATTAGGGGTTAATAAGCATGTAGAGGTGTATATATGCTTGCTTGTGGTATATATAAATATATATATAAAATAGAGATATCTGCTAAACTCTCTCATGGCTATTGGAAAAACTAAACAACCTACATTTGTTTAAATATGCATAGAGTGGCTTTTACTGCAGTGTATATTCAGACCTGGTACCTTTGCTGGAAACCATAATTATTTGTACACAGAGGTTTATTAGATGATAATGGTGAAGAGGTTCTTGCCTCTTTCAAATGTGGGGTCTCACATGCCCAGGACTCATATGGAACTGGATATTTAATTCAGATATAAAGTTTGCTAAATTCAGAACCAACTTTTTTTCCATTGCTTGCCACAGACTCACATAAACTTGCTTGTGGTATATCAGATTTTGTGCAGGTGTCTCTGTGGTGTCTATGGAGGTAAAATGATCGACACATTTGCAAATTATTTGAAACTTGAAGTTAATCATGTGAGACCCTACACTGGAAAGAGTGTTTTCCTGTTTTTCCAGAGAGCATTTCTAAGTCCTATATAGAATATATTGCACTACTAATCTCGAAGATGGACTATGTCAAGAGAGGAATTGTGTGTATATCTGTCATGTGTCAGAATATAAAAACAGTTAAAAAAAAGATGACCAGGTCATGAAGAGATGTTGATAACATACACAATGCTGGATTACTGTGTTCACATTGTCAAAGTGCCATGAGCTGAATTAGAGACTACCCAGTGTGCACATGCTCTAGCTTAGTGGCTCCAAAACCAGTCCTCACTACCAATCAACAGTCCAGGTATAAACAGTATCTGCATTAGAATAAAAAAGAAAAATACATAAATCCTGGATTGTTGGTGGGCCATAAGGACTGGTTTGGGAATCACTGCTCTATCTTTTACCAATGTATTAAAAAAGAAAGAAACCAATATTGTCACTCCTGTAATATATATAGAAATTATACCCAAGTATATGTCCAAGTATACATTAACATGTACCTGTTATAACAGATACAAGTTTGCATTTTGTTAACCACCTGGCTTTATTAATTTTATATATTTAATGTTTCTTCCCATAATACTATAGCAAATACATTAAAATATGAGAATGTATTACCAATGTCTCATTCTCAGTAAAATCAAGCATGTTATCAATATTACAATTGTTGAAATACACATCTCTTTTTCATACCTCTGTTTGGGAAGCAAAGACTTACTTCCCATAACAGGTGAAAAGTCATACACTTTATGTTCACTTTGTGTAAATGAAATGTATCTCTTCTTTATCTCCATTCTTAGCATGTATGTTTAAAGTTGCTGAAATAAACCATTATGGATGTTTCTCTTCTATCTCAGTGCTGCGGCTCTCACACAAAGTGTGCCCCTCCTCCCTACTTCCCCTTGCAGACATTGCTTTACATAGGCTGAATTCAAGAATGAGAGACTCCCAGATGAGGGTTTTCTGATAACAGACATGCAGAGTTCAACCTTATTATCACTGTGCCAAGTTACAGGTACAGGTTTGGCACAGACTAAGTAGGAGAAAAAAGATGTTTGCTACTTCTGCTTTTAAAGAAAACTAGACATGTGCTAGCAAATCTGCTAGCACAATGTATAGGTTACATAGGCTGAAAAGAGATTAATCCTTGGATCAAGAAGCATTTACACTACATTGAAAAATTATATCCTTGAATATTCTGTTTTTGCAGGTATGCATCTGGTTGCTGTTTAAACATCTGTATGGACTCTGATAAAACCACTTCTTCAGGCAGAGAATTACATATCCTTATTGTTCTTATGGTAAAAACCCTTCCTTTGCCTTAGACTAAATCTTCTTTCTTCCAGTCTAAACACTTGACCTTGTGTCCTATGTAAAGTCTTGTGTGAGAATAGGTTTCCACACAATGTTTTGTATTGGCCCCGAATATATTTGTATAATGTTATCATATCCCCTTGGAGGCGACGTTTTTCTAAACTATAGAGGTTTAAATTGGTTAGCCTTTCTTCATAGCTAAAATGTTCCATTCCTTTTTTAATTAATTTTGTAGCCCCCCTCTGCACTCTTTCTAGTGCCATAATATCCTTCTTTAGAACAGGTGCCCAAAATTGCACAGCATATTCAATATGTGGTCTTACCAGTGATTTATAAAGAGGCAAAATGATATTCTCATCCCAATAATTAATGTGCTTTTTCATGCATGACAATACCTTACTGGCCTTAGCCACTGCTGATTGACATTGCACATTGTTGCATAGTTTGTTGTCTATAACAATTCCCAAGTCCTTCGCGTGTGTGGGTATCTCAAATTCGCTTCAATTAGGGGTATAAGTTGCTTGTGCATTCTTGACGCTGAAGTGCATAACTTTGCATTTCATTACATTAAATTTCATCTGCCATTTGAGTGCCTAGTCCCCCAGTCTAACTAAATCCCTCTGCAGCAAAGTTATTTCTTCTTCACACTGTATTACTTTACAGAGTTTTGTGTCATCTGCAAACACTGAAACATGACTTTCAATGCTTTTTTCAAGATCATTTATAAACATGTTAAATAGAAGGGGTTCCTGTGGTGAAAGCTGGGGTTTGGAGGGTACTACTTGCTAGCCTTTCACCCTGTGACTATGGCCCCTCCAATAGACCTGGCTAAAATCCTTCAAACAGGCTCTGTTCATGCAATTGGGACTATATGGTTCATTTACTGAACAACTGCATGAACAGAGACCACCCTGGAGCTTGTTAACACCTATTAACAACTTGGAACGTTTTTCACCACAGTGTTCTAATTGTTCGTCTCGGTGGCCGCGATTCCTATGAACAACCACAAGGTGGCGGCCATCTTGTTCGCATGAATGCAGGCAGTGGTTTTTGGGCATGAGTCTCATGGGATTGAAATCGGATACAGAAACTCCCGAACACCGCTGGACTTCCATCATTGCGTGTGTTCATTTCTATTCAGCTTAGAAGGGCACTGTTCGGTGAGATCATTCGTCTGGATGAAGGGAAAAAACTCCAGGGTAAGACTATTGACTCTGTTCGGTAGTTTGTTAGTTTGCAAATTACCAAACTAGACCAGCTGCAAGCCCTGATTCTCTGGAACTGTTTTGGGCATGGGACCATGCCTGCGGTCGGTCAAATACATGAATTTCATGACATTTCTGAACCCCTGAACTGATCTGGGTGAGTTTTGGATACGTTGGTCACCCAGATCAGGGCTATCAGGGGATGTAACATTTGTGTTTGTGTCCCTGTCCCCAACAAGGTCCATGTGGGCATACACCTTGCTTGTCATAAATGGCCAGTGTGGCACCATTAAAATTGAGTCCTGTTTAACCCTCAACACGTAGCTTGGTCTTGTGATTGGAAGGGAACTGCTATCTCACTACTGGCTCTTATAAGAGCTATACAACTATACTCTCCTGGAGGAGAGGTCTTTCCCACACAGTCCTGGATATCAGAGGTTGGTCCAAGATGGGAGGAAGACGGCGAGATCCCAGCTAAGCTACAGCGGTTGTGGAGTCTGCAGTGCTTGTGGTAGCCGGTGCGGTGGTAACGGTCCTCAGCGCCAGCTAGGAAGCATCTGTTGGCGGAGGTGCCCAGTCGGGATGCCAGGTGATCCGTCACAGTCCCAAAACAGAACCCTGAGGGACACCACTTTCCACCTCTGTCCAGCCTGAAAATGTACCATTAATGACAACTCTATTTTTAAGCCAATGTTCTACCCAGAAACAAGAATTTTCATCTAGACCGATTTCTTTGAGTTTGAACACTAATCTATTGTGTGGAACTGTATCAAACGCCTTGCAAAATCCAAATAGATCACATTCACTGCAACACCCTGATCTATACTTCTACTTACTATACTTCTAGGTAAATTGTGATTCTCTATAATTTAAGATTAAGTTGTATTTGTCATGATAGGTACCTTTAATATGAATTTTGTCGATAGGGGAATTCAATAAAGTGTGAAATTAAAGTGAATTTCAAATAAGCGAATACATAGCTGAGTTAGAAAAGTTTAGAATTTGGCTATTTCGGCGTAAAAACTGAAATTCAGTTTAAATCCATGACAATTCACAGTTTAGAACCAGTAGAGAACCACAACAGCCAACTTGGAAGTAACAGGTATCTTGGACTGCATTTTTGCAATGCAGTTGTCAAATCATCAAAAATCATTGTTGAGTAAAGAACCCACAATTTCCATGGGACGCTGTAGTGTTAAATCACTTCTAGAGGTTGTAGTTACTTAGTTTGTCGTTGAATTCATCTGAAAGCTTCAGACTGGATTCTATGTAAACAGAACTTACTGTAACTTTGTATAGAGTGGCAGAGTTGTGCCTGTTGAGTCAAGTAAACCATAGGCAACCTTCGGCACTCCTGATGTTTTGGACTACACCTCCCTTGATGCTTTGCCAGCATTCTGGGTGTAAGAGCATTAATGGGGGATGTAGTCCACAACATCAGGAGTGCCGAAGGTTGCCTATCCCTGCTCTAGATAATAATCTTAATATCTGTGTTTTGTGCCAGTAGTAGGACTGGTTGTGTGACCAGCTTTATGCACCACACACTTGTACTAAATAAAAGTAATGTAAACAAGCAATGTATCTATGAAACCAAATGCCAGTGGACAATGATCAAGTTTGCAACAATGTAGTTTATATTACAAAAGACCAGTACAGCTTCATACACTAAGAGGCATGACGGTGAAATCTCACACACGGCATTTTGCATATATTTTTATACATTCATTATGTAAACATACAAACATACAACTTTTAGAAATATCTCATGTTTGATCTTTCATTAATACATGATTTATTTTGTGTTTCTTTTTTTCTTTTTTACTTTTAGTACTTAACAACCAGTTATCTGGCTCTGTAGTGTAAAAGGTTTGTATTACTATTACATTACAAAATCAAACAAAATGTCACATGCCCAGATAACATTATTCATTGAGTATTTAACACAATGTGTGCATTTAATTCACAATTGACCTTTTTTATCATTTAAAATTTCCATTGCCGTAACAAAACTACTGAACTGCAAGTAGCTTTATATATCTTAAAGGGACATGCATCGTTTGACATTTGTTTTTTAAACCAGCAAACACATGTATGCAAACAAAAATAAGGCAAGATAAGTTTCAAACTAATGTACTAAATATTTATAAAGTTACTATAAACTATGTCAGTTCACTTTGTATGGCACGTATCTTAGCTAAGGTAGTTTATTCAGCTTCCTCACGCCTCTCAGCCACCCACTAATACACCCATCTCTGTTTCACAATAACTAGCACTAGCTATGCAAAAATGCAAAGGATGCTGAGAGCCAGAGAAATTATGACAAAATGGCATAAAAATGATAAACAGAGTACAGCAAAGAAAGTGCAAGTGTAACAACTGATTGTATGTGTGTGTATACAGATAACCCTCACTTAACGACTGAGTTCCATTCATATGACCCAGTCGTAGAATGAATTGGTCGGTAAGTGCAGAGTTAAGGGATTCCCTGCTCTGGTGCATTCGTCTATGTTCGGGGAAACTTCCCCGAACATAAATGTATGCACCAAAGCTGGAAATCCCTCTAATCTATGTTCAGGGAAATTTCCCTAAACATATATTAGAGGGATTCCCTGCTCTGGTGCGTTTGTCTATGTACGTGGACTTTTCCCCAACATAGACATGCGCACCAGCGCAGGGAATTCCTTTAAATTTATGTTAAGGAAATTCCCCTGAACATAGATTAGAGGGATTCTCTGCTCTGATGCGTTCGTTTCCCCGTACATAGACGGACAAAGCAGAGCAGGAAATCCCCACGACGGCTCGCACTTACCACTGGTCGTAAGTGCGAGCCGTTGTAAAACAGGTAAGTCACAAAACGAGGACCACCTGTATATGAATATATATATGAATATGTTGTGTGAGGAATTACTGTGCATGTATGAGGTTGACTGTCGCAGTGTGTGACTCTAGCAGAGGGGGTGTGACATGGTGACTGTTGCAGTGTGTCTGCACCAAGATGACTGTGCAGGGTGTGTGACAAGTTTACTGTGTGAGATGAGTATCGGAGGTTGAGTGTGAAAAGGTGACTGTGCAGAATGTGTGACAGGGTGACTCTGTGAGATGAGTTTGGGGGGTTGAGTGTGAAAAGGTGACTGTGCAGGGTGTGTGTGACAGGGTGACTGTGCAGGGTGAGTGCGAAAAGTTACTGCTTGTTACTTTCATATTTGCCGGTCCCTGAAGGGGTTCATGGAATGACAGGCTTCTCTCGCTAGCCAAAGCAGGGAAGAGGTTGCACTTTGTCCTGGTATACAGCGTGATCGACTTGCTCTTGATGAAGGCTTCTGCAGTCAGGATGTACAGTGTTACTTCAGCCTTATTCTTGTGCATCTCAAACCAAGCTGTGCTACATGGGCTAGAAACATTTATGGGGTGCTAAGTTTAAAAATCACTGACATAGAAGGAAAGTGAGGCTAATTATCCAGTAATTACTTTCCTCTATTGAGTGTCTGGCTGAGTAAAGATCTGAGAAAAAAAAGGACAGACGCAGGCTAATTGAAGGATAGCAGAAAACAGTTGACCTATCAAAGTGCTTCAGTTACAGCAGCTGTTTGCAAATTAAATTACAGAACACAATTATAAAGATAGTTCTAGGGAAAGGGGTTGAAGCCTACAGAACAAAATAATAAAGAGTGTTCTAGGGAAAGGGGTGGAAGCTAGCAAGAGAGATTCTCACGGAGGAAAAATGGGGAAAAGAGAAGATGACAGAAAAGGAAGGTTGGTGAGAGAGACAGGTGATGAGGGTATGTGGCAAGGCAGGTAATTTTGTCTCAAATTACTTTGTTGAGAGAGGGGGGATTGCTCCATGTAGAAGAAACAGCTCTATGTTACCGCTGTGTCGTCTAGAGAATGCATTTATGTCCGATGCACATTCTTGGATCTTATGTCCTCACCAATAACCTTGCGAGATCTTTCAATTGCGTAAGTGCGACTGAGTCACAGGTGCAAAGCAACTTTTCATAATTCCTAGTGTAGGATAGTGATTGGCTAAATCACTGTCCCCCTGGTGTGGGTGCAGAAAGAGCAAGCAGGAAGAAAGTAATTATGAAGAGAAGACCATGTTTGCCTTCTTCCTCTACCTGAAGACAGGGCCAGATTAAGATCCCAGTGGGCCTGGTGCTGACACTTATGGCCTAATTACAGAATCTTATCGACCAAAAACACTAAAACAGTCATACATCTCAAGCGTCATGTATATGATGGAGGTGGTGTTGGAGGGAAACTAAATGGATGCAGCTATAAGAAAACACATACTCTATGCTAATATCTCTGTAATTTATGCTTTCAAGTAAATCCATACCCCCTAACAGCAGTGTACAGTGAAGCAGAATGTCAATAGGCGGGGTAAAAGGGTGGGCCACTGACGCGAATCACGTGACCAGAACTGCCAAAAGGGGCAAACATGCCCAAAAAGGGGGCATGTCTGTCCAAAGAATTGGAAGGCCAGCCTGGCATCAGTGTCCCTATGTTTTACAGTGTCAGTGTCCCAATGTCTCCCAGTGTCTCAGTGTCCCCATTTCTCCAAGTATCCCCATGTCTCAGTGTGTCTCGTGACACTGAGAGACCTGGGACACTGAGAGACATGGGGGCACTGAGACACTTGGGAACACTGGGAGACATGGGGGCACTTGTGGATACAGACATGGGGGCACTTGTGGATACAGACATGGGGACACTGGGAGACATGGGGACACAGACACTGGCTGGGAGACATAGGGACACTGGGAGACATGGGGACACAGACACTAGGGACACTGGCTAGGTGACATGGGGACACAGACATTTGGAGACACTGGGAGACATGAGGACACATGGAGACGCTGTGTCCCTAGTGTCTGCGTGTCCCAATGTGTCTCCCAATGTCCCTATGTCTCACATGTCCCCATGTCTCACAGTGTCCCCTAGTGTCTCAGTGTCCCCATGTTTCTCAGTGTCCCCCAGTGTCTCCCTGCTGCCTTTCCCCCCATCCTTCATTTCCCTGAGCTGTAGGCTGTCTCTGCAGGCTGGGAGCTACTGTCTGAACTCTGTGCTGTGTAGCTGCTCCCCCGCGGATCAGTGAGTAGAGAGAGGCAGGGAGGGATATGCTTTAACTTCCTATCCTTGCTTCTCCACACACAGTGACCCCTACTGGCTGGTGCTGGTAATACAGAGTAATATCCGTTTATACTGAGAACAATATCATTTGTATTGCCGGTATTACTGCAATACCGGCATGGCCAGGCAGCCTCAAATACCAGCTGTGGCAAACCTAAGAGTAGTGTGTAAAAAAAAAAAAAAAAACGTTTTTTTTTTTTTTTTTAAATGGGCCTATTTCATGGGCCTGGGCCTGGAGCTGCAGCTCCATCAGCCCTTATGTTAATCCAGCCCTGCCTGTAGAATTAAACAACTGTCTCATTCAAAGTTAAAGCTTTTAAATGAGACAGTCTCTAAGTAATGTATGTCCCTTTAAATGTACTGCGGTACAGCACCCATGTGTTATAAGAGTCAAATAAAATGGCAGTAGACACAGCATTACTAAAAGATTGTATTTCCACAACTCCCTCGGAAAATAGCGAAGGCATCCTACAGAAATATGAGCTGAGAATCAGAAAAGGTCACAGTGCTCATTTGCATATTTTGCATGGCATCCTGGGAGATTTGTGAAAACAATCTATCAGAGGTATTGTTTCTGGGCCGTGTTTATTTACATATGGCTACGATATTATACTTTGTTACTTTTACATGTCACCTTAACTTTACTAATACTCAACATACACAATGTATTTTTACCTTAAAAACTTCAAACTCCAAAATATATATTTCACAATCTAATAAATAATAAATGTTAATATCCATTAAATATAAATCTGTATTTTCTATTAGACAGATGCACACATTATAGGGGTAATCAAGCAGCCAAATTGGATGTCAATAATAAAGAATTTTAGTGAATATTTCACACCTT